TTTAACTAACGTAACTTCCTATCCTTTTGTTGTAAAAGCCTTGTGTGGTGTTGTCTTTTTCTTTCTTTCTTTTTTTTTTTTTTTAATCACAGTTTTATTCCTGTTTCTAACCTGCACACGCCATTATCAGCCTCCTCCAGGCCGAAGTGTCCGTCAAACTCCAGGTGAATGCGGCTTCCTGGTGGTGACAGCAGTTTCCATGACAACAGCAGGTTGCGGGGGTAATAGTTGGGGTAGCGTGGGCTCAGGATGACTCCGCCCAGTGGTGTTACCGTGATGTTTTCCTCTTTGCGGTACATATCTGTGGTGAGGAGAGTGTGTTGTCTGTTAGTGGTTTAGAGTGTGCACAGTTTGTTCACTTCATTAACTTCACCTCGTTAACTGTTTTGGTTAAAAAAAGCAGCATCTTGCATGCAAATCTACATGCCCCCATAACAAGTTGTTTAACACATCGTCCCCAATCTGCCATGAGTCAATTCTTTAATGCAAAATTGATTCAAAGGAAATGTCTAATCTCTAACATTCTCAGTCATTGTGACCATATTTTTATGTATTAAATAAAACTGATTAATATGAAGAGAAGCTAATCATGAATCATAATAATCGTTGTGTTTATAATTATTTCAAATGGTCATAATCAGGGTTCTTGGCGTAGGCGATGTAGTCGGCCAGAGCGCCATGTGCTGGAGGGGCACCGCCAGTGTTGTGTGTATTGGGGGGAGATGAGGATTAAGCTCACCCAGGATGCCAAATTGGGCTGAGCCTACTCGATTACAAACGATTAATCATGATTAGTTGAAAAAAATAATCATTCCCGAATATGGCAAAACCCTTCAATTTCATTGTATCATTGGAACAGAAAGATATATTAAAGAAGGTAGAGGAATGTTTTTTATGCCCATTTTGATTTTAATCTAATCCCAGTGATGGATTTTGGATTACAATGTGCAAAAGAAAAACTCAAAATTAGCCCCGCAGTGTTGGTGGATTGTAGTTGGTGGATTACTGTGCAAGGCTGAAACACGTTGAGCGTTGCTGTACAACCTCAGTGAAGTCACCTATGGTCTCTCACTATTCATTTGACAATTATATACGTCAGCTCGTAGACTTATTCACTGCCCTGCGCTCAGTTAGGCATGAAGTTGACGCTTCCGCAAAGGCTGTGTCGGTCCAAAAATGGTTACCCAGCAGTGTATGCAACAACTCGTATCAACTGCGTATTCAATCTACATGCTGTAAGGTATTGATCCCCGTATTGAACCCAAGGGTCGATGGCTCTCGGCCTCGGACGATAACCAATAAATCCATTGACCGCAAGATAAATGAAAATGAAAGTCGATCATTTTGCTGACCTCAATACATTTTCCATGCGTGTGCATATTTGTTTTCCCTTGTCTTTCGCCTCCAAACGACTGGATGACATGAGGGTTTGCTCTGTGCGTCGGCCTTATCACCTGGGCAGGTTTGTTCCATAGCGGAGTGAGCTGAGTGAACGCTCTTGTCAGTCATCCACTCTTTCAAAGGGTTTACTTGCATGATGATAAATGCTATGTTATCATGACATTAGTGGTCAAGTCTCAAATTTTGTTGACAATATTATTGTTTATGTGGCGCTTTGGCCCAGAGGCAATGTCTCTGTCATTGGTGTGGAACCCCAGGGTTCACCTCCTGGGCAAGATTGAATCCCAATTAGGGTTGTTGGTACCTTCCAGTGGACTCACCACCTGCAGGAAGGTTCAGGAAGGTTGGTACGGTGCAGTGTGATTTGGATGGTGGTCATGGAGACTGCTGCCCCCGCGACCCAGTAACTGATAAGAGGCTGAAAATGGATGGATGGATGGATGGATGGATATTATATTTTATCTGCAATAATTTCAGGACAATATGTTGTCCAGCAAAAATTGTTATCGGCGTACAGTAGTTGGCTCGAGTTTTTTCAAGGGTTTAGAGCAAGGGTGTCCACACCTTTTTTTTTTGTCTTGAAAGCTACTTTTCAAGTGACCAGGCTAAAGTGATGTACCTATATTGAAATGAAATATATATATATATATATATATATATATATATATATATGTACACT